TCGCTCACCACCGGTAACTGAACACTGGTCCATTTTTGCCCTTCCAATTTACTTCGAATTTGCAGTTCCTTTGGGTTTCTGGTTTGTGAACCCCACGAATACGTAGTATTCACTTCCCGGTTTACCTTCGATTCCACTTTATTTACCGACCCTTCTTTTTAACCCGATCCCGTTTATTCAGCCACACCTCACAACAGCCAGAAAGATCCGTAAAACCTGCGCGGTTTGGATGTCTGTAAAAAGACGGACGGTATTCCATACATCATCCTGTAAATGCATGTTACGGAACTAGCATATATTCTAAACCGAATTTTCTGNACTCACAATTTTTCTAATTCCAAGAACTATCTTACCATTACCCTTACTTCTGCAGCTTCACAACCAATTCTCGAATACAAAGGTTTTCTGAAAGGCCGCCGAATGGATTTCACCGCCATCGTTTTAAGGGTGATTTACTGGTTTTTGTCTCGCATACCTCACCAAATGCACTCAATAGCCAGCCTAATATATCTGTGGCATCATCGCGACTTCCAGCTGTCTGTGGAAGGTCGAATATATGATGAAGTTCGTTCAATTCTGCCGTACTGCGCAAAGACATGGTCATTACGAAAACAAGATTAAGATCGACTGAGTGTTTGAACACCGCTGTCTACACCCCATTTCACGAGTCTGTTGGGGAGACCGGACAAGAAATGTTAGTTTTGGATAACCGAGGTAGCCCCCTGGAGTAAGTGGTCGACCTCCATAGATTACGTTTGTTGCGGCATGTGTTACGCATGTCACCAGAGAGGTTGCCACGACCGGCTATGTTTGCTGAGAAAGATAGTGGATGGAATTAAGCCAAGGGGCGGTCAAACTAAGACCTGGGACAACGGTATGAAAACCCCGACCAGGGGATCGGTTCACACAGATAAGGTTAGTCTTCCTGGATCGGTGTAGCCGATGGTTAGACACTGAGCGATATGTTTGGGTGTCTTAAACAGTGCATCTACTAAACGATTTTGTAACTTTATTCTTCATAAAATCTCTTTTTTCGACAATTTGAATACTCTACTATTCCCCTTATTCTTTTCTCCAGATACACATACCGTACAACAAGATAATTATCAAAGAGAATTAGGGAGCACCACCCTCGTTGGTCGGCACACGGAGAAACGAGGACAGTGAAGAGCGCAATCAGCCAACACCTGCTGCAAACTAATCACCAAGTTGACATAAGTGAAGAATTCGAAATCGCTTGTCATATTCCCCCATTATATTCATCAGTACGCGGTTGAAGAAATCGAAATTAGACTGAGAGACCTACCCCCTACCACTATGCAACCAGGAGCGTTTCGTTCATGCACTACATTTACCATGGCCGATTTTCAAGCGACGAACAAATTTAAGGGTGCAAGAACATCATAACCAATGGGAGAATCAATCAACTTATTGACGCAGGTAAGAGTGCTTTGTACCCGATGTAATAAGGTCAATCTCGTAATGGATCAAATAATATTGAATGGTTCACCTATTTAATTGCAAATGACCATTTGGTGGTTTAGCGAAAACAGTCGGCTACGCCTATCGGATTTCAGTTTCAACTTACAACTTTCCTCCTTCCAAAAAAACAGATAAATAAAGTGGTTCTCACTTGAATGTTACCGCAAATAGCTTCCTCATTGCAGTGTCTTTCACCACAGGGCTTATCCCTTTTGCTATGTATCAAATTTTGTTAGGGAAAAATGTCGCACCGGGCTATGAGGTTCGTGGTGGTTGTATTTTTCATTTTTTGCGGATTTTGAGCTAACCTCTCTGCAAACTCCAATATTTAAGATGCGGTTTTGATGAATCCTCAGATAAAGGTTAACCTGCTTCCCGGTAAGGTACTATCATACCACACCCACACATCTGTCCATCCAACCTACACGTATCCCCACTCGTTGACTCAATCATGCGACCAAACATACGCACGCAGGCCGTGACCATGCCTACCAGTCCTGTGACACAGACACGCACTACGACAATGCAGCCAATCATATGACCACACACACTAACGGCACCTGTCACCTGACGAAGCTGACCCGTTCATACATTCATGAACCAAACCAATCAGTGTACTTGACTTTGTGACATTCGCCCATCAGTTTTGGATGACTAGGTTCTGATACAACCGATTACATGTCGGACTGCTACGTACAAACTCTGTGGATCACATTACGTTGTTTACTTACGTGGACTTCGGAAATCATGATGTGCCTCCTTTAACTGTCGAATTATGCCAATCTCCTGTTTACGTGTACCAAATGTTAGTTATTTATTCCTTACAGAAACGCATTGATATTCGTATACACATCCTGTACGATAAGGTGCTTACGTTTTATATAAGCCGACGATTGTAAAATCGCCTTGATAAAGGTTACCCACGGTAACCGAAACGTCGGCTGTACCGACATCGCTGTGTTTTCAAAATTACAACTTATATAAAATATGTCACATGGCGCATCGATTTTTCGATACACTCCGAACGTTGTTCGGATCGCACTGCTTACGTTTTGTTCAAATCAACCAGTATTGTGAATAATCAAGCGAGTGCTCAGATTTACATGAGATCCACGGTGCCTACACTCTCCACAGAGAAGGCCCTACCTATTGATGGTACCAACTCAAGCCGAAGCGCGGTTCACATTCGACTGTTTCGAACCTGCATTCACAGGAGACATCCCATTGTCCACTAGGACCCAGGCATTTTACAAGGAGTAGACTTTTATTTACTAAATTATAGCGGGACAGAGGAAAAAGTTTGCCTAATAATTACTTTGATCAGGTGTTTGGTCCGGTCAGTCATTGTGTCAGAGATGCCAAGTTACACAGAAAATCAGGTAAATCGCTTAATAATAACAAAACAGAGTGAATAAGAAAATATATCAGCTTTATTGTGATAAAAACAAACGCAGAATGAAGCTTAATCCACAGGAAATTAATCCCAGGGGTAAGGGTAAAATAGTTCACATTTATCTATTTATACATGTTATTCTAAAAGGCAAGCGCCTTACTCACTTGGGCATCAGTAAATAATAGGTGAATGGCTGCCCACCGAAACCTTCGGGAAAGGAGTCGGCTCCCACCCAAACAGGTTTGGGTGTCTCAAGAGGGATCCCGGATTTGGAAGATGCATCATGTGAGTCCGTGTGTGTGCACTGAGACAGAACAGTGAAAGAGTCACTCCTGCTGCTCTCTTCTGCGGATTGCTCTGGCTCCGACGCTTGTTCCGCGACTGAAGGCTTGATACTTGTGCAAGTTGGAGCTCGGTCAAGGAAATGGCCCACAAGAGGTACAATGTTTGGATGCCCCGAGGATGGTCTTAGGTCACATTCACGTTCCAACTGCCGATGTAATAGGACCCAATCCACAGATGTGGCCACATCTAGTGGGTCATTAGGACTGTCCGAACGATTCACACTGGCATAATAGTTGTAAAGAACTTTGACAGCCAGTTCATTGTTGGTTCCTTTGCAAAGATGGAGATCGAGAAATAATAGCTTAACATAGAATAGCGATTACTGAGAAGAGTATATATTGTATAACAATATAATGTGATATTTTGCCCAGAAGCTAAATAGTTGAAAGCAGCATACCTCTGGAGTAGGAGCGAAATTTTATCGACCAATGAAGTATCTATCATACAGTAGTGTTTCAATCGAGTGGGAGTTTTCGTCATTATGCGAATGGAACTTAACTTTCTCATTGGTCGTCTAAGATTTCGTATATATAGTGTGGGCAAAGTATTGAAAATTGGTTCTCACAGCTCGAATGAACAGCATTCAGTTTCCCTTTTTCGTGGAGCTTGGCAAGTGGTTTGAAAAAGTCTCAACACCACCCAATGTCACATCTCGGTGAACAAGCGTAAGTGAATAAATAATAAATAAATATAGCGCACGCTGTTCCATGAACGGTTCAATAGAAATTGCACCAATTTATTCAGTAAGCAGCGTTCATAAGATGCCGGTAAATTTCCTTGCTTGATCAGAAGATCCAAACAACTCTTTTTGGTTGACCATAATAATGAATCGTTTCAAGAATAAATTTGATTAGGCCGTCAGTACTCATCCAAAAAATAATACCGATAAGGTTCTTGTTAGAGCGCATCGATGTGCGAAGTGGAAAGTCATTTGGTGAACACTCATGTAAACGACAGTCAATGCACTTGTTTAGCCCGTTTGAGAGTGTGTAGCACTCACGTCGAAAACCTCCGGTGGTAGTGCTATAAAGGATCGATTTAAACAGCACAAAGCGACGACAACGAGCAGATTCCTCAAATACACGACGTCGAGCAAGTCAGATTCTTCCGATTTGTGCGGAACCAAACGCGCAAGTAGCACGAAAAGCAAATGGAGCAATGTAGGGGGACCATGAAACGGAGAAATTACGAAACCCTAGAGGAAGTATGAATATGTGAAACCGAGAAAGATAGAATCAAAATGAAGTTGAGTAGAGAAAGATTAACGCTTATGGGGGGGAGTACTTTGAGCTTTGAGGTGGTGTTGCGGAATAGCGGGAGCTAATAAAAGTGTGGCTAACCTGTGGCATGTGTCATCCGCATAAATTTTGATTTACCTTCAAGGCAAGCGCGTAAAGCAGCAGATCTTAGGGTTTTGTTTTACAACTGTGAGACCTAGCACCACCCCACCTGCTAGTGTACCGTAACCTGTGGTTCCCAACCACGGATTACTTGAGACTGATGGCGACATCAAATAAGCACTGCCGAGTGTTTCGGTGAAGGATTCGTGATCACACTGAATTGGAGTGAGTGAGCTCCATATTTCACAAACGTAACAGTCGCCTACACTGAGGAGCCTTGTTAGCAGCTGCCACTCCAGGCTGATGAAAAACGTGTAGAAATAAACAGATTGGTATGCACGGCAGGAACAATTGCGCAGATGGATTAGACAGATTAGGTGTCTCGTTTTCACGTTGGAATCAAACTTCATAACTGATTGGTTCAAGATAGCGAGGAACATAATGGCGATATGAGAGTAGTACGGCTTGTTGTAATTCCCCATGAGGTCCGAGTGTTTGTAGAGACGTATTTGCACAGCTAAAGAAACTACTCGGTATGCGATAAAACCACTAAAACAGTTGTTCCTTCCACCTGACCGCTGTTACACATTTTCACATAATTCTCGTAACATTTTGCATGGGCATCATATATATATATATATATATATATATATATATATATATATATATATATAGAGAGAGAGAGAGAGAGAGAGAGAATGAAGGCGTACAGTTGTAAAAATGCGTCATTTTTACAGTTGCCATGTGATGATCGTGAATTAGGGCTGTACCAAGAACCGTATGAGGTTCATCAACTTGTAATTACATGTCAAACCCAGCTAACAGTTTTTTCTTTTAGGGTAAGATAAGCAAGCTGGTGTTTAGCTGCTTACCGAACTTGCCAACGAGATTGCACTGTTAAATCATCAACCGGGGCGACATTTTCAACACGCTATAAGTCTGTACGATTGAGGAACTCACTATCGTCCAGGAAAGGTTCATGTGCATCTCCACTGGACACGACCTCGGCTGACCAAACTGCACTGTTACNACTTGTTGGTTAAATTCGGCAAAGTAGGATACCGATTTAAAGAAGACAAGAATCCACCAAACCAGGAACTTTCGCGCTGCTTTGACATCTCATTGATTGCAGCTAGCGAGAACCTTGAAAAGGAAAACAGGAAATATCCGCGGCTATCGATGTTAGCTAACTATGCAAAAAACCGGTTGCAAGCTCTACATCAGCGGCCCATTAAGTAAGCAAGCACTTAACACCTATCTGGATCTAAATTGTGTAAAAAAAACTACAATTACGAGAAAAAAAGCAACCCATGACTAGGTGGTATATTAAAACAACCAGGTTTTCCGGGTTAATACAGGGGATCAAGATCACTACCTTTTAGCACACGCGGCCTGGCCTCCAAGGCAGCGAATGGATGGACAATTATTGATTAGAGACCCTAGTTCATTCAGTTGGATCGTGCATTCCCAGGACGCGATTTGTTCGTCTGAGATACCTAAAACACCTTTAAGCAGTTCAGTCGCTGACCTTCCGAAGGTAAGTTGAGTAGCATGTCACCGTCCGATTGTCTTCCAGTTGGTGTTCAAATGCGGAAAATGCCACTACTTTTCTGATTACTTTTCTTTCATTATACAGCGTTGTATGATAAACGACAGGTATAAAAACCATAGTTATGAGGATCACATGATGACTCATGATAACCGACAGCCAAGTCCTGGGGGCTTAAATTGGTATACATGAGAAGAGAACGAAACAGAAAAAGGAAGAGGGAAAGTGCTGTTTCAATGGGTTTGTATCAATCGACTTAAAGGTATGCGAATTGGTATTTGCTTATCAAAAGTTTATCCGCGAAAACAGGTGAAGTAAAAAAAAATGTCGGAGATAAGTGACTGATAGCAGGTGTTACAAATATGATCACTGAATTTCCGTGCTAAGTAAACAAACAAAGAGTGCATGCATCCATTTTGAAGTTTGCAACGAGCAGAAAAGTTCAGTTAGTTGTACGATGGAGATCACGTGGATATTTTGCTCATTTTACATAAAGATCAGTATTCTTTTCAACTTGTTTACCGATAATGAAACATCGAGTTTGGATGGACTACGAATCGGAAATCAACTAAAAACGCAGTCCACCTTCTGAGCTAGTTGGAAGCTTTTGTCTCGAATTTATCGGTGGTGGTTCATTTTGTCCATCAACTAATATACCGGTGCTGGGTAAGGTCAGATTTTTAAGAAAACAGGTTCGCATCTGACGTGCGTCAAGACTCATAAACCAGTAGAATCTAGGACCTTCTACATTTATTACCGGTTTCCGGACAATCGTGGTGCCAACACCAGACCAATAATACCAGAAAGAGTGGATTTGAATGAAGAACGGACTGTAAGGTAAAACAGTTTCAATGGAAAACAGTAGATAACAGGAATAATATTTTTTGTGTTTCATGGTACACTTTTTGGTATTGTTTGTCTTAGTCTTTTTTACGGGACACAGGATTCTAACAACATTCGCGCCACTGATTTCTATTCTAGACGATACCTCTAACCAACGACAATCCCCACCCCTTAGGTCCCGATCTGGAAGACGGGCTGCACCAACCGAAGCCAAAGCTGAAACCAGCTTCTTCATATATCTAGGCCATGCCATAATCTGACCATCGCGACGTTTCTTCTGGTCTTGCCCAGCATGTGCAAAAAGAGCACGGAAGGGTAGACGATGGGAAGGCATGCGTAAAACGTGACCAAGACATCGAAGGCGGTGTTGAGCGATTACTTCTTTTCGGGAACGACCATCAGCATCCAAAACACGACGACAAACCCCATCACTGCCCACTCGATATTTCCATCAGAAACGGGCAATGCTTCCGTGACATCGGTGGTCGAATAGCATCCTCAGCGAGGAGGGGTCGGGTCTCGCAACCATAAAGCAGAACACTACGGTCCGCGGCGATGTACATCTTTTCTTTAAGGGGCAAACGGATGCCATAGCGGCGTCACAAGTGTTGCAGGTTGGCAAAAGTTGCTCTAGTTTTCGCTATGGGTCGTGATAAAGCTCCGGAGATACCTAAAGCTTTCAGCTACTTTCAGCCGATCACCACAGAGAGAGCGCAGGCACAGGTTCCTGCCAGTCACGAACGAGCACTTTGCACTTGGATAGTGCAAAGCACATAACATACCTGGATACCTCTATCGCAATGCGGTTTATTGCGTGTTGGACTGCCTGTGTATTGTCACCCAGCAAGGAGATGTCATTGGCATATTCTAAGTCAAGGACTCTGTTTCCTGGGAGGAGTTCGACTCTACCGTTTTCTAAACTGAACAAAGCATTCTGTACGGCATCCTCTATGCCAAGGTTGAAAACGAATGGGGATCTAGGGTAGCCTTATCGAACTCCACTGGAGACGGCGAAGAATGGTGAAACCTGGCCATAGGCCCTAACCCGACAAGAGGTATGGCAATCTTTGAGGACAAACGCATACTCCTCTGGCACTCCAATCCTCAACAAAAAGTTCCATTGTGCGGTTTTATCGACAGAATCGAAGGTAAGCGGGTGTCTAAGGACACAATAATCTTCGGTCTTTGATAGGCATGACGGTGCTCTGACAGCTGTCGGAGGGTGAAGATTTGATGGATTCCCCCTGACGCGACAAAATTTATTTCGGTGAACTGATATAAAGAACCGCGGCGACCTGCAGAGGTTCATTTCAGAGGAACCAGAAAGGTAAACATTTGTAATTGTATTGTAATTTTTGCAAGCAACTGGGTCTACATTCCAGTCAAAACTGTTTATTATTACAATGGGATAAAAAATGACAAAGGGACGTCAAATGGTTGCAGCTCAGTTTGTACAACCTTTAACCACACTTTCGTGTGCCGGTTTTGGCTACCCATGTGGATGAAAAGTAGGAGAAAGACAGGAAAGTAGAAAGC